TTGATGACCATGTTGACTACTATCAATTGTCATAGAGTCATCATGAACACCAGGGATAATACAAGTTTCGGGCGAAGCTACACGTGACACACCTTCGTCTACGTGCTAAAAATTTTAAAACAAATAAAAATAAATAATAAATAAATAGAATATAAAATTAGATATTCAAAGAATATAAAGTACATACTTCTATTGGAATCTTTTGGCTTTCACCGGCGAGCAAATAGTCAACCGGCTCACCCATAACAGTTATCGCTACAATACCGACCTAAAAAAAAACACAAAGAATAAATAAGAATAAATAAGAATAAATAAAAATAAAAATAAATAAGAAGAATTCACAATTAATAGATTGATGATATATACTTGTTTATACTGATTATGTGGGTTCTCATGACAACTTCGAGCGACCAATCTGATAAATTGTCCTTCGGCGTCAAGTTTTACAGATTTTAATTCTCGGGCTTTGTAATTAGCTCGTTCATTACTATCTAAAGCACAATATCTAGAAATATTGAATAAATTGGAAAATATTAATATATTAATAATTGGTAAAAAGAAATAATAATTGACGAAATATAATTGGTATAATAATATATATAATATAATAATAATAATAATCGTAATTTTATTAATTATTATTATTATTATTATTATATTTATTATTATTTTTAACTATATATTGCTTGTTAATATTAACAGTAATTATTTTTGTTATTTTGTTAACAACCAATTATTTCTAACAATTATTTTGTTAACAACAATTATTTCTAACAATTATTATTTGATTATATATAGATAATATATACCCTAATAGCCGGAAGTGTATATAAGGTTCACCACTTGATTTTATGAGATCATAATCATCCGTTACATCATAATCATCCTCAATTTCACCATCCACAGAATTTATTCCATCAGTATCAATAATTTTTGGTAATTTATCCCAAGAAAAAGCCCGTTTTTCATCAATACTATCACTATCGCTAGTATTAGATGATACTTTTTGTTGTATTGAACCTATATATATTTCTAATTTTGAAGCAATTTTGTAATGATGTGATAATATCTGTAGTTTACGAACTCGGGCAGTCCCATCGGTTACTCGTAATATGATTTCTTGAGGATATGTACAACGTCTAACCAAAGATTAAAAATAATAAAATATAAATAAAGAATATAATAAAGAATATAATAAAGAATATAATAAAATTATATATATACAATTATATACACAATTATATATATACAATTATATACACAATTATATATATACAATTATATACACAATTATATATACAATTATTATATATACAATTATATATATACAATTATATATACAATTATATATATACAATTATATACACAATTATTATATATACAATTATATACACAATTATTATATATACAATTATATACACAATTATATATACAATTATATACACAATTATATATACAATTATTATATATACAATTATATACACAATTATATATACAATTATTATATATATATTTTATATATACAATACCTTTTTGATTGCCATCCTTTGCCATGTTTAATACCATTTGCATCAGTATTATTATCATTTGGTAATAGCTGACGAGGATGATAATTATCATCCCAGCCGGTAACGTATATAACATCAAAATTAAGATTTTGTAATTGAGACATTGAAGAAGAATTCTTTGAATACAATAATTGGATAGAATCGTCGTATAAAGCAGTATTATTAATATTATAAAAATTTTTAAACGATTGATTCGAAGGATTAATTAATTCGTCGGTAGCTCCTTTCTTATGATGAACAGTCCCTTCCGGATAGCTATCAGAATAGCTTATCACGGAAACAGAATTGTTGGCAATAGTCGAAGGGTGATTAGGAGGAAGAGGAGATAGTAATAAACGTTCCGTAATAGATTCGACAAGAATAGGTACTTCCTTGGTT